CCTTCCACAGTCAGAAAATAAGTAATTTTGAAGTATAGTTTCTCCAAGAAAGAATTATTAGAGGTCAGCGTAATGGGTCTGCAGAGCAACGTTCTGGTAGTGGGGGGGCCCCAGGGGTGGATCCTCTGAGAAGCTGCCAGCAGCTTTCTCCATGTGTGACATGGCCAATGCCAGCTGTCTCCAACTAAGCAATTAGTGAGTGATCTCTCCAGTCCCTACCTAAACTTACAAGCTTTCATTATATTTTTTGTCCAATTGTTTCTGTCCAGTTGAGGGAGGGAGGGATAGAATGGCTTTAGCGGACACCTGACATCCAGCCAGCATCAAACCACCACAGTCAGAAAACCAGACATTTTCCAAGTGTTTATCTGGCTGTACAAGGACAGTGATGAATAAGTGTATGAATAGTTAATCCGTAAATACTTTGTTTCAGAGATGCCATTGAGATAGCACAGATAGCAAAGCATAGACATGAAGGTGGTGTGTATGGGGGGAGGGGGGAGTGGTGGTCATGTTTTTTCTCCTGTACAGTGTATGCATCTTTAAGACTGGCACCTAGTAATTCTATGTGCCTCTCCTGGATTCTCACTTTTAATAAGAATACTAATATAGAGCAGGTTTCAGTTTAAATAATACTTTTGTGCTGGCCACACCAGTTTGCTGGCAGTGCTGGTATGCCTGGGAAAATGAACTGAACCAGCCCACTCCTGGCAGCTTCTCTACTGGTGTCTCAGAGGTTGATTAGAAAAGCAGCTGATGAAAACACTACCCACCTCCTCCGAAGGTGGTTGCTACACTTGCATGCAGCTGTTCTAATGCATAAATTTAAGCTGCAAAGACTAATTTTTGCTGGGACATCACGAAAGCTAAAGTGCGTGCACTAAAGACAAAAGATACATTCCCAAAGACATGAGCTAAGGATGATTTCACCTTTCCCGGCCACGAGAACATTGTTTGAAGAACACAACATCTAGCTGATGATTACTAAAAGCTTTTTTGTTTGTAAGGTGAAAGTGATCTCTTCCTGCTCAAATATTTTTTTCCAGTCAAAGTTGTTTAGTTGTTTTTTTTTCATACCCCACTGTTATTAATTTACACCTTGTCAGGATTTGTAAGACTGATTTTATTGCTGTTGTGGGAACAGAATTCTCAGCCATATGGCATGACATCTTCATTTCTGCGTGACAGGAGACATGATCGATTATTCAGTTTTGCAGTGCAGCAAATGTTTACCTTTGGGAAGGTTTTTCTTAGGGAAACTTCACACTGAAGTAGAGAAGAAAAAATATATATAAATAATATATTTAAAGGGTAACTTGTACTGTAAATGCTTAAAAAAATATTTTGGCCTTTTGCATAAACCCACAGCTTGCCTATTATATTAATACATTTTTAATTTGGCTGACTTTAGCTTC